GGGACAGATTAGGAAAGAATTCTGGTGTTGAATCTGCAAACTACAGCGATTATTCAAACTACAGCGATTATTTTTGTGGGTGCTATACTACATTTTTGTACCATGCCCTGAGCCTAGTGCCACAGAGAAATAAGCAATCAGTCTGTTTGTTAGGTGGGCGTTGGCGGCCATTTTTGCAAGTGTAGTGCACTTGCAACTGCATGTGTGCCAGGCACATTACTTTAATCCTTTTCTGATAGCTCATTGGGCAACATCTAGGCATGTTTAAATACTGCTGTGACATTGCAGTTTGACAAATTCACATTTTTTTTGGTGCTAAAAATTACATTTGGGGCGTGCACTTCATATGAGAGTCAAATAGAACCGTCAAATACTGCTGTGACATTGCAGTTTGACTAATTCACATTTCTTTGGTGCTAAAAAGTAAATTTGGGGCGTGCACTTCATATCTGAGAGTGAAATAGAACCGTCAAATACTGTGGTTACATCGCACTTTGAAAAATTCACATTTTTTTGGTGCTAAAAAGTAAATTTGGGGCATGCACTTCATATCTGAGAGTGAAATAGAACCGTCAAATACTGTGGTTACATCGCACTTTAAAAAATTTACATTTCTTTGGTGCTAAAAAGTAAATTTGGGGTGTGCACTTCATATCTGAGGGTCAAATAGAACCGTCAAATACTGTGGTTACATCGCAGTTTGACCAATTCATATTTGTTTGGTGCTAAAAAGTTAATTTGGGGCGTGCACTTCATATCTGAGAGTCAAATAGAACTGTCAAATACTGTGGGTACGTCGCACTTTGAAAAATTCATATTTTTTTGGTGCTAAAAAGTTAATTTGGGGCGTGCACTTCATATCTGAGAGCAGGGCTGGCCTTAGGCCTTTGGGCGCCCTGTGCGAAAATTCTTCACAGCGCACCCCCTTCCTGCCCCTCCTCCCCACACACCATGTCACACACACACATGCAGACAGCTACACGCAGACAGCCACACGCACACACAGACATAGTAACATAGAATGTGATGGCAAGTAAGAACCATTCGGCCCATCGAGTCTGCCCAGACAGTCACACATAGGCAGTCACACACACACACACAGACAGCCACACACAAACACACAGGCAGACAGCCACACACAGACAGCCACACACAAACACACAGGCAGACAGCCACACACAGACATCCACACACAAACACAAAGGCAGACAGCCACACAGGCAGACAGCCACACACAAATACACAGGCAGACAGCCACACACAAATACACAGGCAGACAGCCACACACAAACACACACGCAGACAGCCACACGCACACACACACAGGCAGACAGCCACACACAGACAGCCACACAAAAACACACAGGCAGACAGCCACACACAGACAGTCACACACAAACACACACGCAGACAGCCACACACAAACACAGAGGCAGACAGTCACACACAAACACACAGGCAGACAGCCACACACAAACACACATGCAGACAGCCACACACACACGCACACACAGGCAGACATAGAAACATAGCATGTGACGGCAGATAAGAACCATTCGGCCCATCTAGTCAGCCCAGACAGTCACACATAGGCAGTCACACACACAGGCAGTCACACACACACAGGCAGACAGTCTCACACACAGGTAGACAGTCACAGGCAGACAATCATACACACAGGCAGACAGTCAAACACAGGCAGTCATACACACAGGCAGACAGTCACACACCCACACACAAAAAAGGGCAGACAGTCACACACACAGGCAGACAGTCAAACACACAGACAGTCACACACACAGGCAGACAATCACACACAGTTACCTCTGTTTCTTGTGGAGGCAGACAGCCAGTTCAGCTCCTGGATTCTGGTTGTTAGGGGAAGCAGGGACTCCTTCCTGCTTCCCCTGCAGCAATTACACAGCACTTTAGCCCCGCCCCGCCGCACGGTAAGCCACACCCCCGCCGCAATTTTTATTTATTTTTTATCCTGGCCGGCCAAGTGTGAGCTGTGTTGGCTGCACGGCACCCCCTGCTTCATTGCGCCCTGTGCGGCCGCACAGCTCGCACACCCCTAAGGCCGGCCCTGTCTGAGAGTGAAATAGAAACTTGAAAATTCTAATTTTTTTGGTGCTAAAAGTAAATTTGGGGTATGCACTTCATATCTGAGAGTGAAATAGAAACATCAAATACTGTGGTAACATCGCACTTTGAAAAATTCAATTTTTTTTGCTGCTAAATAGTACATTTGCGGCCTGCAGTGCATTTCTTGCAGTCCAATAAAACCCTTAAATACTACTGTTACATTGTTGGTTTAAAAAATCAATTTTTTTGTGCTAAATAGAACATTTGCGGCCTGCGGTGCATTTCTTGCAGTCCAATAAATACTACTGTTAACATTGTTGTTAATTTTTTGAGACAGTGAAGTAACTGTATTAATTACGCCTGTCACACTGTTGTGTGACCTCTAGAAATATTTTCTCTTTAGGACACCGGCACTGCCTTACTGTCAGTGAACTTAATTGTTGACTATTGGCGGTTACATTGTCACCTGACATAAACCATCTGTTAGTTTGGTGGGTGAATGTTAAGAATGAGGAGAGCTTCAAATAAGGGACGTGGCCCTGGTCGTGGTGCTGCTGGTGTTGGTGGAGCTCCTGTTGCAGGCATAGGACGCGGTTGATCTGTGCCAGCTACACGCACAAGTGAAACACCTTCCTCAGGTGCGAGTAGGCGACAGAACCTTCAGCATTATTTGGTAGGCCCGAATGCCACTCTACGAATGGTGAGGCCAGAACAAGTACAGGCGATTGTAGATTGGGTGGCTGACAGTGCCTCCAGTTCCATCACATTGTCTCCCACCGGGTCCCCTGCTGAAAGTTTAGAGTTGGCACCTGCAACCCATGGCCATCTATCTTTCACCTCACCCGCTTGCAAATCAGCCAAGCAGTCTGAGCCACAAGTTATGCAGCAGTCTCTTATGCTTTTTGATGACTCTGCTGGTGGGGTTTCCATGGGCCACCCACCTAGCCCTGCCCCAGAAGTGGAAGAGATTGAGTGCACTGATGCACAACCACTTATGTCTCAGGATGTGGACATGCGAGGACCACCGCAGCACGTCTCTGATGACGAAACACGGGTACCAACTGCTGTGGCTCTCTGCAGTCTGCAGACTGGCAAGGAGGGCAGGGTTGAGGAGTGGGTGGAAGATGATGTAGAGGATGATGAGGTCCTGGACCCCACATGGAATCAAGGTCATGCGAGTGACGTGTGCAGTTTGGAGGAAGAGGCGGTGGTTGCACAGAGGCACCAGCACAACATAAGAGGGAGCAGGGTGCAAAAGCGTCCACTAGACAGTACGCCTGCTACTGCCCACTGCACCCAGGGACCGAGCACACCAAAGCCAGCTCCAAGGAGTTCCCTGGCGTGGCAGTTCTTCAGACAATGTGCTGACGACAAGACACGAGGGGTTTGCACACTGTGCAATCAGGGCCTGAAGCGAGGCATAAACGTTCCAAACCTGAGCACAACCTGCATGACCAGGCATCTACATGCAAAGCATGAGCTGCAGTGGAGTAAGCACCTCAAAAACCAAGAAAGGTCTCAGGCTCCTCCTGCTTCCTCTTCTGCTGCTGTCTCGGCCTCTTCCTCCACCTCTACAGTGACAGTGGCACCTGCCACCCCGCAAACAGAGGATGTGGCAGCAATGCCACCACGTCCACCACCGCCCTCAAGCATCTCCACACTGTCCCATGGAAGCGTTCAGCTGTCCATCTCCCAAACACTGGAGAGAAAGAGGAAGTAACCCCCTACCCACCCGCGATCCCTGGCCCTGAATGCCAGCATTTCAAAATTCCTGGCCTTTGAAATGCTGTCATTCCGTCTGGTGGAGATGGACAGTTTTAAAAACCTGATGGCGGTGGCTGTCCCACAGTACGTGGTTCCCAGCCACCACTACTTTTCCAGACGAGCCATCCCTTCCCTGCACAACCAATTGGCGGACAAAATCGTGTGTGCACTGCACAACGCCATCTGTGGCAAGGTCCACATAACCACTGATAAGTGGACCAGCAAGCACGGGCAGGGATGCTATATCGCCCTAACTGCACACTGAGAAAATGTAGTGGTGGCTGGGCCTGAGGCTTTGAGCAGTTTGGCGCATGTCCTTCCGCCACCGAGGATTGCAGGGCATTTCTCTTTGCCTCCTGTTGCCTCCTCCTCCTACTCCCCTTCCTCCTCCTCTACCACCTCCTCATCCAGTTGGGGTCATGTATGGGTCAAGTTTGAGTCCCGAACTCAAACTTTTTGCCGAAGTTCGGCCGAACCTGGCGAACCCGAAGATCCACGTGTCCACTCATCCCTCCTCACAATGTCAAAATGGTCTCTCCAAAATTCATGGAGGGTGAAGCTTGATCAATCTGTCATCTCAAAGCATTGTCGGAAAAGCTCCCTTGTGTAGAGTTGTTTAAAATTATAGATGACTTGTTGGTCTATTGGCTATAGTAGTGGGGTGGTGTTAGGTGGAAGGAACACAACCGTGATGAAGTTAAAGTCCTCCAGCAATCTTCCTTGAGGCCTGGAGGATAAACAGGAGCATTGTCCATGAGCTGCACGGCCTTGAGTGGCAGGCTATTGTCCACAAGGTACTGCATGACAGCAGGACCAAAAACCAGATTGACCCACTGCACAAACAAGAGTCATGTGACACAAGCCTTTGGGTTGGACCGCATCAAAATGCTCAACTACTCCTTCTTCATCTTGTGTTTTTTAGAAGACCTGTGAGTGGTAGACGATCTTAAGGTCCCCACTGGCGTTGGCGCAGAACAGGAGGGTGAAACGGTTCTTCATCGGCTTGTGGCCAGGCAATGAGATCTCCTCTTCCATGACAAAGGTACGCTTTGGCATCCTCTTCCAAGAGCCCAGTCTCGTCACAGTTGAAGACCTGCTGAGGAAGGTAGCCCTCTGAATCCATGACCTCCAAGAACTCAGTAGCAAATTCCTCAGCTGCAGCAACATCTGAACATCTCCATGTCTGACCACGCTGTGGATGCCAGCTCTGGTCTTGAACCTTTTGAACCACCCCTGCTTGCCTTGAAGCCTTCTGCATCAACCGACATTCCTGGCTGTTGGTCGAGGAGGTCGGCGTGCAAGGCCTTGGCTTTTTGGCAGATGATCGCCTCAGTCACTGTGTTCCCTGCACGCTGCTTCTCTTCAATCCAGAGCAGGATCAACTTTTTGACCTCCTCTAGAACAGGTAGCCATTGCTTGGAGACCTTGGTGACTCCTGTGGCTGCATCTCTCCCAGTTTTCTTCTCTTTCATCTTTAGGATGGTAGCAATTCTGGATGCACTCCTTCCATACTCTTTGGCGAGGTCAGTCAATCGTATTACTTCATGCTTCCTGATGATTTCTTTCTTGACCTCGAGCAGAATCATCTCCTTCTTCCTCTTCCCAGCTTCTGCTGCTTTCTTGGGTGCCATGACACTACAGTTACTAAGTGAGCAGGAAATAAAAAAAATGCTTTACACCCACACCCAGGCTCTCAATGCTCCAGTTCAATGCTCCAGTTCAAGTCTATTTAGACAAACTAATAATAAAATAAAAAAATCTGTCAAGATGAGCTGGCATGGAAACCACCCCACAATGCAAAACACACAGTAAAAGTCATGCACAGCACATGAGCTGGCATGGAAACCAACCCACAATGCAGAACACACAAGGCATTTGTGGCGGAACCAACCTCACCACTATACACTGGAGAAGCCTGGTTGCTCGCCTGCTCCCTTTAGACTATGGCCATGCAGTTCAGACCTGTTATTTCCCCTGCTGAAAGGTTTATTCGTGCCTTTCTGCCGGGGTGTTCGGTAGATTCAATCTACCGAACAAACTACCGAATGATGGACCACCTGGGAACTGGAGAATGCGTCAATTGACCGCCCAGAAGCTGCGGTTAACCGCAGCTTAATTGATGAACGCTGGGTGGCCTTTGTTCGGTTGCCGAACAAGTGGCAGCGGCCATTTTACCTCCCGAACGGCCAGCGGTGTTCAGCGCCCAAACCATGGAACTGAAAACGGACCCTTATTGACGCGAACACCTCTGAGCCGTCAGCCTCCTTACCTCTCCATTCGGTAGCGGAACCGAATGACTGTTCATTCGGTAGTTTAACCGGATGAACAGCATCACCCCAGATAGCTAAGCCATGGAGCCTATTTGTGTAACGAAAGACTATGTGAAAGACTTTGGCTCCATGGCGACTGAAATGTATGTATGTGATCTGAGCGCCATTCGGTAGTATTGTGAGCTCAGATCTAAGCTATCTGGGGATATGTAGAATGCATATGTTTTATGTAATAAATGTAACTGTATGTAATTTTATGTCTTTTTCTGAAAATGTGTGTAATGGAGTTTTGCCTCTGTCCCTGGAGATAATTGGATTACTTCCCAATTATCTCCAGGACAGAGAGGAGGGACTGTGATGCATTGTGGGATGGTTGAAATGTGTAAGTCTGTGATTGGTTCTTGTACCCTTTGTGTCCCAGTCTCCCTTCTGGTACCCTAGGGGAGTGTCCACCAGGTGGGAGACCTGCATAAAAGCCGGGCAGTTAGCCCCAGTAAACCAGATTCTGCTTGACCTTCAAAACGAAGTGTCGTCTCATCTTTGGGGAGATTTACTGTATGCTGTTAGAGACTGATTGCCAAGAGTGTAAGCCGCTTGGGTGCTTTTCCTGTTTTCGTCTGCTAACAGCTATTCGTGTGTCTCCAGTTCGGGAGTTTGGAGTGCTACTTGGTATGCAGTTCGGGAGTTTCGAGTATTCCTTTGGTTGCAGTTCGGGAGTTGGTGAATTTGTGGGTTTGCAGTTCGAGAGATCGGTGCTTGCAGTAGCTGTCTGTGCATCTGAAAAAGGGGAATATCGCCTAAACGTTTTTTAACCCCTTGTGTGCAAAACTGTCCATTACGACATGCAAACGACAAAGCACAGCTCCCTAAAAAGTTCCAAAAAGACCAAAACCGCTGCAAAAAATTTCCAGAATAGCTTCAAAACTCGATACAAAAACCGCTCTAACACCTCCACACTCAACGCCATGTGCTTCCCACAGATTCCAGCATGCACGGGGCAGTGCTATAAACCTCCCTTGCTTCGTATTGCAAAAAAAAAATCGTAAACAGGGGCATTATTTTCTATGGATTTTCATTTGTATTTCATTTGAGCTACCACTGTATTACAGATTTTATTTTCTTGTATATCTTTTTTTGAGGCATTTGTAAACAGTTTAAAAGGACTCATCAAGTTGTACAAGCATTTATGTCTACCTCCCACATTCCATCTGCTAAACACTTCATTGTAATCACAATTTGGGCTTCCTTTAGAAAACATATTATCTGCAATCTATGTGGTTTTCTTACAAACCAGTTGTAATTTTTTCGATCTTGTGAAGGTCACAAATAACAGGGTTTATTGAAGTGAGAATTCAAAGTAAAATCTAAATTTTAAAGGGACACTATAGTCACCAAAACAACTTTAGTTTAATGAACCAGTTTTGGTTTATAGATCATACCTCTGAAGTTTCACTGCTACTGTCTCTGCCATTTAGGAGTTAAATCATTTTTGTTTCTGCTTATGCAGTCCTAGCCACACCTCCCCTGGCTGTGACTGACACAGCGTGCATGAAAAAAGTTTCATTTTAATCAAATGCTAACTTACTTTAGATATTTTTATCTCCTGATCTGTAAATTTAATCACATACAAGAGGCTCATGTAAGGTCTTGTTAGCTATTAACAGTGCAGGAGATACGAAACTGTAATTTAAATTCAGAATTGAAATAAATGAAACAAAATAAATTGCAATAAATGAAGTGTAAAATTTAGATCTTACTTTACAGGAAATGATTAGGAAGGCTGTGTATGTTAGTTTCAGGTAAGTGTGACTAGGGCTGCATATACAAAGTGATTAACTCCTAAATTACATTTATTTTAGTAATGAAAGTATTTGCTAATACTTCAATTTAAATTATCTCTGTATTGTTTGCCTTCCCCTCTCTCTCGTGTTAAAATGAATTTGTGCCATGTATTGTCTACTGTAAGGTTTACTTACATTTAGAAGTTGAACAGAATTTTAAACAATCAAGCAACTGAAGTGTTTAGTTTTCAAAGAATCCATACAACTATCTCACAACTGATCATACAGGAGATAGTTACCCGTTTCCAAACCTTCAGCGTTTATATAATGTACCCTCTAAAATGAATTTTATATGTCTGCGAATGAAAAGTCGGATGGTAAAAAAAGTACACTTGGCCTAATTGTGAAAGGAAATATCCATGAAGAAAGGCCCTCACTAGTCTTATTGATCAAAGAAGTGTGTATTTATCTGACACAATTAGGTTAAATCACATTGTTTCAGTCCATACCCTGAGCCTGATGAAAGTCTGGGTACAGACTGAAACGTTGATACAATTTAACCTATTCTTGTTAAATAAAGACACACTTCTTAGATTAATTAGACCAGCGAGTGCCTTTCCTTGTGATAAATATATATCTAGTGCAACATATAGAGGAATAGTCAAACACAGGTGCAAAAATGTTAAAGATGTTTTAATAACATGCTTGATCTTTTGCCAATGACAAAGTACAGTGAACATTAAAGCCACTTGTGCCACCAACTGGCTATTATTTTGAACAAATTTTATATATATTTTTAAAATATTAAACTGCATTTGATATGGGGATTTCCTGAAACGTGACATGAAGTTTAGATCAATTAGTATATTTGTAAACATGATGTGTTAATAGCAGAATAGATAGATACCTTGTTGCAACACAGAAAATGGGCTTCACGTTGCTAACAAAAGCAAACAGAACTGTGCTTAATAAATCGGGGATCACTCTGGGAGAACATAATGTGAAATCATTCTTGCCATTTTCTTTCAAAGTTTCATAGAGAACAGGCTCAGTGGCAGAAATTAGATCAAATACTGAGAAATAGAGAGAAATAACACACAGAGGGAGGCGTTGGCTTAAAATAGGCACCTTTTCTGTTTTCTGACTTTGTTTTTTTTTCTGGTGGGAATTTTGCCAATCTATTCCACTAGTTTTTACTTTTGTAAATTTCCAGCATTTTTTTCCCTTTTATTTTCTGTTACTTTCTTTGTAGCTTATTCAATTTAATCATATTCCTACCAATGTTTTGGAACCGAAAAGTACTCCATTATCTTGCATTAAAATTACACCCCTTTTATCTCGAGGTTAAAAGCAAGGAGGGATATTCTCAAAAAATGTGCACAGCATCCTTACAGGGACATGATTGTGGAGGCACAACAATCTGTTGGAATAAACCAAAAATAACGGTGGAACTTTTTGGACTACTTTAAAAACATTTTAATAAACTGGAACAGTTTGTGAACAACCCTATCCCTCCCCCCCACCCTCCCAAAAAAAGACACTTTACAGAACACTTTGAAAAATCTCCCCCATTATGTTACTTTGTTACCAGGAAATAACAATGAGTGCTCCTATATATGATTTTTAAGTAGCTAGCTTTATTACTTTGGATTGTAACTAGTTTTTTTGGAGCTAAATTTTTGTATAGTTCTGTATTTGGACTAATAATAGCCACAGGTGTAACGCTATACTGTTCTATATTTATAAAAACAAAACAAAGTAAGTTTGACTAAAAAGCATATTTTCTTCAGAAGGCATATGATCGCTTTATAATTTTACTGTTGTTTCTCTCTATTTCCAGAATTGTGTGGTTCATTTTTGTTATTTCTTTCTTACAGATTCTTCAGTGCTGATTAGAATAAACATGTTTATATAACTTTTAGGATGTGTAAATTGTTCAAAAGAATTGAATAAAATACTATAGCAACTGGCATGTTTCATTAAACTGAACAATTCTTCAAAATATACAATGTTTGCCATTCAGATAAATTGTCACTTAGGGACAAATTAGCTAATTTGTTTGTAAATCTTAATCTAAAGAGTTTTTTAAAGATACACAAAAAGTTAAGTATGACCATGAGACATTGTGTCAACGTAAATAATCAGGTCTATGAACAATAGACAGTAGACAACTGATATATCCAAAGGCATAGGTGATACACAAATAGTCTATCTTATATCCTCTGTTGTGGTAAATTTGCATCTGAAAGTCTCAGGTAAGTTGGTAGATGAGGTGTAGTGAATAGGAGTATCAAAAAGAAGAGGGTGGAATGAGGGGAAGGAAATAAAAGAAAAGAAAGAGAGAAAACAAACAAACTTAATCAGGACTACATTTGAAATAGGCTAGGATAGGTCAGTATCACATTCCTTCTTGGTTGAGGGTGAGATGGAATGATCAGGATTCAAGAGGATCATGTCACAAGATATTTTTTGAGGTACCACTGAGTAAACCCATGAGGATATTAACTAATTTTTATGACCATCTCACTCACTTTCTCAATCTAAATAGTTTCTTAGCATGGGTGATGGCACTGCTAGGTA